AGCTCAGGGGGACTGTCTACATCGGCACCAGCCTGTGCAGGCGCAATAGTCACAGGGGTATCGATACACCTATCATCAGCGCCAATACATTGCTCAAACGCAAACTGTACAATATCAAACGGCAATTCCGCGAGCGGCAAAACTGTGTCGTACTCACTGCAAATAAGTTCAGTTTTCAGACCCCCCCCCTCCCTGCTCACACGTCTAAGGGGGACATCCAAGGCATCTACAGCATAGGAGTAAATAAGTTTGACGCACACACTTTTTTTAAGGCCTCGAAGTGAGGTCCTGGAAAGTTCACGTAGGGAGTGAGGACCACCCTTTCTGCTATACTTAGAAAAAAATGAATGCTGCATTTCAGCACTAGGAGGCGCCCTGACTCCAGTTCCCACCTCAGATTCTTTAAAAAAAACTAAGAAAAATTATAATTCTTTAAATCGGTTGACTATAAAAGTGAGGACCGTTTCATAGGGGGCGCTGTTGGGAATGTTTTATAATAGAATAGTTTACCTACTTTCTCTCTTTAGCTTGCAGTTATTTATGTGATTATGAAATAATAAATAGGTCTGGATGCGTTTTTAAAACAGTCACCGTGTTGATTAGACTGCTGCATAAAGATACAGATGCTTTTTTGACGATATAATTATTGCTTTACAAAAGTAGACCATATTTAAAATTATTGTACACCTTCCAACAAAGATGCAATGAATACCGTCTCCTGTGTACAGAATTGGTTTATTTAAACAATTACTACTTTAAAACAATAGGTTGCATAAATTGATTTCTAATGCATTCACGCTGCATTAGAAAACTAACGGTGTTCTCACCCTCAGTATCTCGCTCACTCCCTCTCACTTTCCCTGTGTCTCTCTCTCTCTCTTTCTCTCTCTCTCTCTCTCTTTCTCTTTCTCTCTCTCTCTCAGTCTCCCTCTCTTTCTCTGTTTTTTGACAGCAGTCTCCTCTGCTTCCGTCCATGGTCTCTTCATCTGCACTTTGGGTGCCCCTACAGATGGCAAAGAAGACAATGTAACATGAAGTACATAGACCACAATGTAGATATCTTAACCAGGCTCATGCACAGCCGGCACACAGTCACAGAAAGCACTTTCCTGCCCAATTTTTGAGAACTTACACTTTTCTTTCACCACCTTTTTGCATCTTTTATTCTGTGGGAGCCTTTTAGCAAGGCTTTCTCCTGGGCTCTGATCTGCAACATCTAAACATTAGTTCATGAAACTTCAAATTGAATAGATGTGAAGGTTTAAATGTATCAGTGGTGGAATGTAGAAAATACATTTCTTTAAGTACAGTAAGTCAGTCAGAAAGCTGCAGCTGATTCAGAACGCTGCAGCTTGAGTCCTCACTAAGACAAAGAAAGTGGATCACATCACTCCAGTTCTGAGGTATTTGCACTGGCTTCCTGTCCAACAAAGAATTGACTTTAAAATCCTGCTGTTGGTTTATAAAGCACTGAATGGTTTAGGGCCAAAATACATCTCTGATGTGCTGCTACCTTATGAACCATCCCGACCCCTTAGGTCATCTGGGACCGGTCTACTTTCTGTTCCCAGAGTCAGAACTAAACATGGAGAAGCAGCGTTCAGTTTTTCTGCTCCACATATCTGGAACAAAGTCCAGAAAGCTGCAGGTCTGCTGAGACCCTCGGCTCCTTTAAATCAAGACTTTTCTGTTTGCTGCTGCCTTTGAGCAGACACTGAACAAAACGGTTCCCAATATTTTTGCAGACATGCAACCACTCCAGCTATCAATAAAATTATCCTAATTCCACTCATGCAGAGATACGAACAGTGTCACTTTCCCATCATATTTCAAGGTGTACTGTGTATGTGTGTGTATATATACGATACATATCAACTAACACGCCAATAAGGGGTGTTTAAAGATGTGACATCCTCCTACATGCTGTAGGTGGGCTGATTATTAGCGGGACAAACTGCTATCTAATTGCTCACCTGATTGAAGTGTGAGAAACATCTCCACAGTCGCTCAGATTATAAACGGTAGGTGGGCTGGATAATTACTAGCAGCCTGATATTGGAGAAGTAATATCTTCTCTCCAGCAGAGCAACATGACAAAACATGGAGGATTACAAGTCGAAGCAGAGAGAAACTCTTCTACTAATTTACTGCTCTGTAATGAGACGAGATCCTCATTTACCCCACCAGTGTCTCCATCAACAACCACAGTAAAACGGTCACCCTCGCACTCCTTTCCATATTAATATACTTGTTTGTTTATTGTAAATTTCAATGTTTCTATTTTTAAATCATGTCTGGTATTTTGCACTGTTTGACTAGATGGAAGGTGCGTAACATTAAACAAATTCCTTGTATGTGCAGCATACTCTGGCTCTCTCAGGCTCTGAGACTTAACTTTTTCCTGTGAGAGTTTATAGTAGAAGAACTACAATGCATGCATGATATATCAAGACACAGATTTACAACATGTAGACACGTGTCAGTAGATTGGATACAACTCCAAGTTCCGTCTGCTCAGATTCAGCTGTACAAATTGAAGTTGCGGAGATCAGGATCCATAGTGGCAAAGGCATATTTAAGCCGTATTCAAGCTTTCCAACTAAACAATATTTGCTGACAGCAGAGTAAAAAGATGGATCCTGGTGGTATGCATCATCCCGATCAAATGCATTAACTGTATACTGCACTAACGGATAAAAGGAATATGTATCGCATTACGTTCCAGTGGATTCACTGATCCTTTTAAAGTTTGGCGGCATTGGTGATATCCAAGAATATAAGGCAGCTCAGTTTCACAGCTTGTCTCTGATCAACCAATAACAAGTGATTTTAAATGAATCAAACAGGAATCACTGATCTGAATCATGAGAGGCATCTGAGTGTTTAAACAGTCTAAGTGGCTCTTCACAGATAATCACTGTGATATCCTCTGCTCCTGTGTGCTTATATCCCTCATCTGTGGTCTGCAGAATGTGACCACACTAAACATGCTGCCAAGTTGATTATACTCACAGTTGAGGTGTAAATTCTTGCTGTGGGCCAGCGTCACACAAACAAAAGCTTTATTTATTTTTTCAAATGCTGAGGATTTTCCAACAGAAATTGAATGTGTCACCACATCAGTCAGATTTCTGCAGCAAACTGCACGCTCTATGGATGAGGGAATTATTATTGCATTGCTGCGTAACCTCTTGAACATGTATTTATCCATGTATACTTTGGGGTTGGAATCCACCAAAAGAAATTAAAATCGGTCTCTGGAAAACGACAAACAATTTATTTTCTTTAAACAGGATTTTGTCTGTAACCAAACAACCAGAATCATGGTTCAAAATCTTCTGAATGTTTTTTTTTTTTTTTTTCTCTTTTCTTATGGCATGTCACTCAAACTCACATCACTGTTATTCACCAATACTAGGTACCATTACATCATCATAATTATACTGAGAACCATTCCGCTTAACTACAAACATTGGCAGAGAAGAAACCAAACCACCATCAGCAAAAACTGATTGCTAAATGTCCAAAAATAATTTTCAAATACGGTTTTCATTACATTCACGTCCGCTTGACACCGTCTCTCAGATTATCTCTCTGCTTTCCATCGAGTCACAATCCACCTGTCAGACAGAAGCAGATTAGCATTTCAGAAAACACATCAACTGTCTCTGCCTGCAGTGCACGAGGTGACGCACAGCCACAGTGTTGTCGAGTCTGCGCTTCTGTCGGTGTTCAAAGCTTTACTCTTCACAGACATTTAGAGAGCTGGGAGAGGAAGCTCCCAGCAGGGAGGAGACAACTTAAGTGGGGGTAGAAAGAAACAGCAAAGGGAACCACATGACATGTGATGGAAATCTCGATCACAGGTCACAGATGTGACTTAGTTTCCTGCCAATGCCACTATGTTTAGAGAAGAGAGGAGGGGGAAACAATAAGACAACTGACTTGGAGCTTAGTTTAAAGAGAACAAAGTTTAGTTTGAACCATGGGAAGGGTTTAAAAGTGTTTCTTGGCTGCATTACCTAATGAGGTGTGTGTGTCTGATCTCAAAGCTTTCTTCTGACGTTCTCTCATCGGAGGCTTCTCCTTGCCAGCTTCTAAGCTGAATGTTCACTGCTTATGTTATATTCCTTAAGATTTTCTATAAATTCAAACCCATTTTTTTTTTTATATTTTCTGGTTGGTTTTACAGCAAAAAAACCTTCCTGCCCTGCAAATAAATGAGCTGAAAGTAACTAAAGTGGAGTAGAGCAGCAGATTTGGTTGATTATTCTCTCACAATGTGAAAGAGGTCGCTCCTATTGATAAACTTGCACACTGTTTTCTCATTTCAACCATTACATCATTATAAAAGATACTGATTTATATCCAGTTTAAGGATAATAACTTCAAAGCTTAGTAGATCCATAGCTAAGCTCATAAATTTGGAATTATTTTTGAAATATGGTGAGAGAACATTTTCCCTCACTGAAGAACATTTATATTTACTGAAATTATTTTCCACCGAAGGTCTTACAGAGCTTTAACCTTCAAAGAGTGATTAAAAGCTGCAAGTATAGGTGGGAAGGATGTTTGAAAGAAACAAATAGCTGGAGGATGACTGTATCGTAAAACATCCCTTGGGGTTTACAGACTCAAAGTAAATCGGATGATCACGACCAAAGACATGAAGACTGAAAGTCCAGGTGATATAAAACATCCTGCCAATTTGAAGTACATTTGAAGGGCTCTCCTGTCTCTACATAAAACCTAACCACCACAAGAGGGCCTAGCTTCACATATTTTCTTACCCATACGCCATAAAAATACTGATACCTGCATTATTTCCAACGTTTCAATATGACGGTAGCGTTCGCCAGAGATTTTTACAAAGACATTAATTCCACATTTACATTTTTGAATACTTAGTTGAAAGAAGAATATCAACACCTCATAAGTCCAACACTGTTGCCTGTTTATATCAGTATATTCACAATTTACAGTAAAGCATCAGAAGACTGTTTTTTTTTTTTTTTTTTTTTTGCCTTGACATGCTGTTGATCCACTTCTGCCATCAAAGTGTCTGAGTGGCTCCGAGTGCAGCGTTAAGTCTTGAGGCGTGGCAGGACTTTACTGTCACATGTTCATCTGGTCCCCAGCTAGATAAAATACTCCTTTGGGTTCCCAGTAGAGACGTTCTGGGAGTCCGTCTGGTTGTTGAAAGGGAAATCTTGGCTGTCCTCCTGTTTGACTCCCTTCACTTCCTGGTTCCTATACGTCTCTTTTCTGCGGTAGAGGAATCTGCCGGTTATCGCCAGGCCGGTCACAATCACGAAGATCACCACTGCTATGACACCTGCAAGGTAGAGGACATTTGAGATGTAATGGGCTGAGATATGAGAACATCGCCGTGTCAAATTTCAATACACATAAATGATAAACTACTCAAAAGTCATGCCTACTAAATGTCTTGAATATCTTTCTAATCTAACTTTCAAGTACATTAAACACAATTCGAAATCTTTTGAAACTATCAGGCTCGTCTGCTCTGTTGAGCACATTTGGGAATATGAGAGCAGGTTTCATTTAATTGGAATTCTAAAATACGACTGAAATCAATTTAACACTACATTATAAAGAAACCATGCTTTTTTTTTTTTCCGAGATAACTGCAAATAAGTTTTCCCATCAGCAAGCAATTCCTGCATAGGTTTAATTAGGTGAGCTGCCCTTTGTGCACTGAGACAGTCAGGCCAGTTTAATGGACAGTTTTAAATGACTTTTCTCTGGGCCTCACCTTTTCTATCTACACCATTAGAGTGAACCTTTTCAGTCTTCTCTTTGAATCACTGTGCTGGCGGAGCAACAAAGTTTTAGATGAGTTTTAAAAGAAATCTAGCCTGGCACATCACTTTACTCGTTCTTTGAGCTCAACATCTGTCCACATTGTTGATGATGTGGAACCTTAATACCTGATCTTTGTTAAGTTTGTGAAAAAAATGTTTCACCAAACTAATGCATTCAAGTTACTACCAGGACCTTTAATTTTATGTTGATTTTGGTGCCCCTGTGGACAAAGGCAGTAGTATTTCTGAGCAAACCATATTTTAGTGCAACAGGGTCTGAGAGTCTGCCCTGCACAGTCCTGGTTCTCACGTGACTCCCTCCCTTCTCGCGGGCCCAGAGATGCAGCCTGGGCCCACAGCAGCACTGAAGGAGTTTCTGGTGAACCTGCATGATGTCTGATTTTGCGTGGAATCTAAGACATTGGGAATGAATATGTAGACATAGCCAATCTTCTCGCTGATGGTCTTGTTTGCTTATGTAGGTCATATAGAGGCATCAGTATTACATTTAGACTGTTTTATAACTTTTAATATTTGATAGGTGAAAGTCTGTATGATTGACTTGACTATGATTGTCAACAGTGTACCAAAAACCAAAGTTTCTGCTGTTGTGCCGATGAAGCGGGTCCTTGTTCCAGTAGAGTGAAATACAGTGAAAAGGTTCAGTACCTCCAATCAGAGCAGAGTCGGTCCTGATGGCTTTGACTAAAGGCTGACCTGAACCCCCTGAACCAGACTGGTCTACAGCAGAGAAATAAGACGGAAGGAGGAAAAACATATTAAAGACAGAAAATGAAAAATCAAAGGGCACCAAGAAACGGAGCAGATGTCAGAGTAAGAAAGAAATGAAGAGACAAGAATTACAGAAAAAGATGGTGGAATCATAGAAAATGAAAGGACCAGAAAGAGAGGGACGGAAGAAAAACAAGATCAGAACATCATTCAGAGTAGACGGGGAATACTAAATCAGCTCTCCAAGTGACTCTAATAAAGCATCACAAACTGGATGAGAGCGAGCCCGGAGGAGAGGAAATCCCAAAAGATCTGTGGTCCAAATGAATTAAAGCATTGATCACACTGTCATTAGTCTCCAAAAAACGAGGATATACTGTGTGAGATTAATGAGCCTCTTTACGAACTGGAAAAGCAATTTTCATGCAATTTCAACTCGCAGAAATGAAAAGACAACAGGAGACGTGTGCTACTCGACAAGCAACCTCAAAGCAGATACACAGAAACAGAGCTGGAATATGACGCGTGGTCTGAAATCGAATGCAATCAATTAATGTCATAAAAGTTGTACTTGTCGTATTGGAAAGAGTTCTAGAGACATTAACTACAGTGGGTTTCAACATCTGTCCTAGGAAATGTTCATTTTTTTATTTGCTTTTAGTTATTGTGGTCTCCATATAAAAGTTGTATTCATAGCTCCGAACCTATTGCGTGGCCGGATGCACAAATGACTAAAGTGTTCAAATACCAAAGCAGGTATGAATGAGCTGAGCAGTGTAGCTTGTTATGCTACATAATAAGAGCTTCAGGCTTGATGACTCCCAGTCTGGCAGACAACACTGCGCCGCCGTTGTCACTGTCGGCTGCACTGACTGTGGCTTCTTCTTTAGTACTTAGAAAGGTATCGGAGTCAAATATTGAATATTGTTGTCTGCTTTGTCCTGACTTCCCTCCCACTGTTTGTGCCACTTGGCCTTAAGCCCATTGCTTCATGCTGAAGAAGTAAATCTTTACAAGTGGCTCACGGATTTAACAAAATGAATAATTCATTTAAAATACAGATAAGCACAGTAGTTTAAAAAAACAAATTTTTCTTGGGACTGTATTCTGTGGCGGAATTTTGACTTAACTACAGTGTGTATGTGTATATTCACATGTCACTCAGAAACAGTTAAAAATACTGTTGTACTGAGCACAGAGGAATAAGATCTGCAGTTTTGGCAACATAGTATACTTGTTACTTGCTGGTATGAGTTAAGTTTATTTGCTTTTCATGAAATGTCATGACAATAAGAAAATGTATAAAATATCTTATTCTTTAACTATGTTATACGCAGCTTATCCTCCAGTTTCCGAGCTTCTACATTCAGTCTTCTATGTAAAAGGGAATGTGATTAGCCATTTATAATTGTCATTTACCATGTTTTGTAAATTCAAGGATTTACTATTTGCACGAGTAAAGCTATAACACGATTCTACGCTTCAAATAAACAGTCAAAACACATAATGGACCTCACTTTTGATTCTTTTGTGTTACATTTGTAGAAACCAAAATGAGTATCCCCACCATGACATGTGAAAGAACACATGGTTGTATAAAACTCGATATTGAATTAACCAAACCGACTCCTCCTACCTGACAGGTGGCGTGTGTTCTCTGCTGCGTAGGGATCGGCCGAAGCCGAGGCGCCGCAGTTGGACTGGACTAAAGGTCCAGTGACGACGACGGGGCTGGTGTGCGGGTGGAGCAGAGCAGCTTTCAGAGGACTGATGGAGTTAAAGTGGACCACCGAGAGACAGCCGGTAAAACCGAGAGACGCCAACCGGGACAGATCTGGATCCAAATCATCGGACCCTGTCGAAAGGAATGGAACAAGAGAGGGTTAGATGTGTTTGTTTTAAACTCGAGAAAAGAGATACAAATTACAGAATACACATGCTGTACATATTTCATAAAGTTTATGTTGACATTAACCTGTTGGGCCCTAAGCCTATTTTTGGCATTGGCTCGAAAAATTGCATACCCATACTAAAAAGACTAATTCTGTTACTACAAGGTCTATTTTAATAATTAACGCTATAATAAAAGGGAACACTTGTCAGATGTGTAAATATCAGTGAATGAAGATGGCACACAGGTCAAATTGAAAATGTTAGGTTCGCCTGAAAAAAAAGCACTTTTATTGATATTGTTTCTTTGAAATAATGCAGCTGAAAGCCTAACAACTCTCCCAAATCAGAGCACATGTGAACAGTCTCTCTGCAAAGTTTTTACTTTGATAAAGTGAAGCAGAACAAAATTGGAGATGTTTTAGTACAGAGAGTTTAGGCGAGGTTATCAAAATGTGCATTTGGGCATGTGTGCTATTTGAATTTTCTCATGTACCAAACTACATATTTCACTTGTATATTACTTTATGATGTTCAATACATCCAAATACAGTGGCTTTTTTTTTTTTTTTTTTGGAAAATTCAACCAGACATCTATATTTTCCCATTCAAAAAAAACACAAATCAACTGAATGTTGAATCCAAATGGAACAGATTTTTATTTGAGCAAACTGTAAAAACACAGGTAAAACCAATAAACTATTTACAAAATTCTCCATTATGTCGTTACATACGACATCCCAGGACCCCTCACATCGGTTCAGGAAAAACTCCCCCATCAGAACATTATTGTCCAGTGTGCCACAGCTGGAAGCAGTTCTTTTTTGGGTTGAGGCAGAGAGGAACATCGCACCTCGTGCAATAAATGGATGTCTTCACCCTCAGCATTCCTGCATCGTGGCACCTCTTGCAATATCTCCTGACCCTTGTTCCCTCGCTGTCAAAAAAACATGGGCTTGCAAATGGTGGAGGGTGCAGGTGGGGTGGCTGCTGAGCCGTCTGCAAACTCCAGCATCTCCTTGGCCAACTGCTCCATGAAGCCCTTGTGGGTGAAGGGCTTCGTCTGTGTGGGGTCCTGCCTCAACTTGAACAGCTCCTTGTGCAAGAGGTAGCTGTTCACAGCAGCGATGTCCACAAAGTGATAAAAAAAAGTCTTATACCACTTCAAGGTCTTGTAGCGGTTGCTGTAAGTTCCGATCGGAGCATCAAATAAATCCACACCCCCCCATGCTGTGATTGTAATCCACGATGCTGTCCGGAACTTGTAGCGACTTGTTCTGCCACACCCCAGCCGCCTTCACCTTTCTCTTCGCTGTCTGTCCACTGTAGGCCTGATGCATTGTGGAACACATCGTCACCTCTCTCGTGTCCTTCCACTTTACGAAGAGGAGTTTACCACTCTGGATCCATCGCATGTCTCCCCTCTCAGCCTTTTTGGGCAGGTCGTTGGTCTGAGTCTTAGGGAAGCCAATGCGATTTTTCCTGATGGTCCCACAACAGCCGATGTTCTTTTTGGACAGATCAGTGAAGAGAGCAGGGCTTGTGTAAAAATTGTCAGTGTATAAAAAATAGCCGCCACCGAGGAGAGGGAAAGGCAAAAGGACCAACACGGCTGAGTAACTCAGACCGTGGCCTGTGGTGGACTCACTTTTTCCCTGGTACACAAAGAAATTCCATGTTTAGCCAATCGATGAATCAGCCAGCACGTACAGTTTGTGGGCTTGTCCTTCATGTACTGTTCACACTGATGCGGGCTTTGCTTGCGACCGTCCGCTCATCAATTGACAGATTCTGATACAGCTGGAAATTGGCTTTGCAGGCGGTCACCATGTCTGTGTAGAGCGGCTTGATCAGCAGTGTTTTTTTTTTTTTTTTGTTCTCGTCCTCTTTTGGGTCACTGAGGTGAAGTGACCACACAATGGACTCAAAGCGGTCCCGTGTCATGTGGTCACCGGGGAACTGGAAGTTGTAAGGCCACATCTTTCTCCAGTAGTCAGACCTTTGGTGGACCGTCACAAGGCCAGTGAAGATGATTGAGAGGAATGTGTAGAGGTCCTTCACGGTGAGCACGTCCCATTTGAACTTCATCCCAGCTTGCTTTCTTTTGTCAGCGTTGGCATTTGTGTTCCCAATAATTTTCTGGACAGTAATCCGAGCCACTGGTGTCGTGTGTTTTTTCCTGATGCACGAGGCCCTCCTCATCAGATGACAAATCTTCAGGACAAAGGACGTTCCAAGACTCAGTCCCCACCAGTTCCACGATTTCCTCCCTGGTGAAATGTCTTCGAGACTTGTTTCGACATCTTCCTCTAAATCAATTCCCAAAAAGTGTTGAAAAATAAACCTCAAAAGTTACTCGCACGATGCTAAAACATCCAGAAGCTATGCGTAATGCAGTCAAGTGCGTAATGAGGTCTCTGGTCTTGCTGGCTCGTTTTTATTTACGCACAGCGATAACCTTCGATTCCGTTGGCCGAGCTCCATGGTACATACCTCCTTGGATTCGTTAGAGCCAATAGAATTGAGCTAATCACTTGGAAATGACTGACAGCCCTGTTAGCCAGTCAAAATCATCAAGTCTCCGAAAATAGTGAGCCGTAGGCTTCAGTGCAGAGAGGAGGTTCCTCCCATTCCTGATGGGTAAAATCCCCCCTCCCTGAGGAAAGGAGTGTCGCTGCTGCTAGTCAGGAAGTCCGTTGAATGTTTACCGGCAAAATGCGGGGATATATACTTTTACTTCTTGAAAACGGCAAAAGTGAGCCATATTTATGATCATAAAGCGATAATGTGATTTGTGTTGCTGGTGTCTGTTGGCTCATATCTCAGCGATAGTATGACGGAGAGAAATGTTACGGTTATGTTCGTAATCGTTGTGGTGTTGGCGTGCTTTGTTCTATCTTGCTTTGTTTGTTAGCATCTAGCTTCAATTATTATGTCCAGAAATGTGCCGCGTGTGCACACAAAATGCGAAATTTGAATATGTTATTGCAGTAATGCTAATAGTTGGTGAGTTGTTTTGGGAGTATGTTCAAATGGCTTTTATATTATATTTTAGCCCAGGTTGTGAAGTTTTACGTGGTATGCGACATCATTATATTCGTTTTGTAATGAATAATTGTTTTCGATGGTTTATGATAGTGTCGAGAGACCCCCATCACCCCCCCTTTGGACCCGAGAGACCCCCGGTCTCTCGGGTCCAAAGGGTTTTAAAATCAAGTCGGTGATGAATAACGCTGCTTCTGTACAGTCCTGACATGCTTTTGAAATACATCCCTTAACACTGAGTAAATAAAACCTATACTGAGATGAGAGAGGCATTTTGTCAGCTATATGTTTAATACTTATGGGCTTTATCTCAACTCAATACTTATGGCCATGCACTAACGGGTTCACTGACTCTGCTGCAGATCGTCCTGTTAACCCTCATTGTGGGGACATTGTGGGCAGTACATTAACTTGAACTGATTAAGCGTCTGTCAACATCATTCATTCGTTGTACTGAGTACAATGCTTTTGTTTATTTACTCTGAGTGCAGCAGCAGGACACAAACTGATCAAGTCCGGATCCATAATGCGCATCACCATCCAATCAGAGAGAATGTCAAACATAGACAGTTACAGTTGCCATTACACCAGTCTGCATCCGTCACTACTCGAGACAGATGTGCACTTTCACCTCCAATCTGTCTACTTTATGGACTTAAATCCCTTCATCTTTCACCTCCACTCCTTCACAGCAGCTGTGAGAGCCGACGTTACCGCTGTAACCAGCTGCATCAGTGTCTGTTCAGATGACTGAGAGGTGACACGTCTGTATGCTGATGAGAGCAGCAGGAAACATTACTGCCGCCTGTAAGCTCCCCTCAGCAGGAACACTCTTCACTCCATCACCCCTCTCCCCGCCCCCCGTCTGTCTCTCTGTATTCCTTCCGGGTCCATTAGTTTGGCACGTCAGGATCAGAAAAGCAGCAGGAAAGTGGATTTTCTGTCGTTTCCTGCCAACCCCGTCATCCATCAGCCTGAGGGGAGGGCCGGTCACATGCTGACATGACGGGGTTAAAACACACCGAGCTGAGTTACAACATCCTGGAGCTTCACATCCCAAACAGAGAAAAGATCTTGGATAATGTAATAGTTGCTCCATAAGAAATGTGGTGTGCATGGCTCACATACATTGTTTTATTATGACATTTAGTTGCATGAAATGGTATGTTAAGTTTTGACAGGAACCGATGACAATTTTGCATGCAATCATTTTAAATTATTCCATTTCCTGAATGCCAAAAAATGCAAGTCATTAACTTTCAAGCACAGAGTAAAAGGCCTCTGAAACACCAATTACTGCCGAAGACATTCAAAGAGTCATTTGTATTTAATCAACAGAAAATAATGCTGGCTTCTGTTGGATCCAATGAACATTTTCTGAGGTTGTTTAAGGGTTACTCGCAGAAGAAATGTGCAATCAAACAAACTGCATGTCCATGAAAATAGAAAATAAAAAATAAGGACCAGACATTTTTTTTAAACAAGGTTCAACCTTAGAACGATGTACTGACCACATAACATTAACAACCTTCTGCATGTTTTCCTAACCTGCACTCGGTTACAAGAATCGAGTAAGGAGCTACTTCAATAAGAAACAAGTAAAAAGATACATTATAGAGACATTTTCTCACTTGGTATTCGTTTATAGTGCTGATGAAAGCCATTTGAAGAATCTTGACACGTTTTACTAAACTAAATAACCTGTTTGCTTTTAAATTGACAGTGCGGCTGTTGTGTCTGTCTTCAGAGAGCTGTGACTGCAGCCTCTCCGATCCCTCATGTTAGCTTATATCTCAGTCCGTCTCTGATGGAGCCAATTACTGTCTCACCCCGACTCTGCTACAGGTCCCCGTCCAGGACTACACCGCTAAATGGATATAGCAGGGCATTAAAAAAGCCCGGGTTGGAGACAGTAAAGCATCCATTACATGGACTCCTGTTGAGATCTGTAACTGGAGTGAGGTGGAGGCAGGATGTGACGGCAAACCGAGCTTTGACCAAACAGTCTGACTTTTTTCAGAAGTCCAGAACAATTAACGAGTCGTACTGCTTTTAATTGGGGTGAAGCAAGTAAGGAATTAAAATATTCTTTGGATTCATGGTTATCTGAGTAAATTAGTGACAATTTTAGTTTTAATTCATATAATTCAGCCCTGAACTCCTTGTTTCACATGTTTTACTATATTTTCAGTTAGATTTGCTGCTTCATTCCAATCTCTTCTCATTAACTTAAAAACCTGACCAACTCTACACCTGCTCACATGTTCAACTTGTAAGTCTTTGTTTAAAGTGTAGCCTCGAGTTCAGCGATTTCACCATCGCCATCTTGGAATACGCCCGTCGCCATCTTGGCTTTTTTGCAACCGATGCACGGAAGTTACCATATTTGGAATGCGGAGGAGTGATTTAGAGACGCAGGATACGTCTCTGGTAGCGACCATTCATGAGACACTTTGTCTAATTTCAGATTAGATTTTAGAGGAAATGGTGCATAGTTACAAAATCATTTCACGACAGGTTATCTTTGGTACAAACACGTTTGGCTACATTCATGCCTGCAGATTTTCATAAAAGAGCACATGATGTCAGATAAAGCCAAATATCTCTGCGCTGTTATTCAAATGAGTCTTTTCTAACTTAAAAGCCTCGACTCTGTCTCGACTGCCTGCTCACTCACCGTGCACTCTGCCCAACACCAGCGACTTGATGGCGTTGAATTCTCCGTTGGATGTCAGGTTGAAGTCTTCTCTGGGATTTTGGTCAATCTGAAATTACCGACACACTTTTCTTATTAACTGTTGTTAAAAATTGTGTTGCCTCAGAGGACTAATTAAATAAAGAGTAACTTTTTGACCCATTACTTAGTGTGAAAGAATAATCTGAATTTGGAAATGAATTCTTTAATGAGGGCTGCTCCACAGAGTCATGTGGCAGTGGAGAAGAAACCAAACTCAAGTTTCAGATAAACTTCATCCATTTGACAGCAATGCTTGAAGAGATATTAATATTTTACTTTTAGTAAGTATTTTTTACAAACTGGTCTCCTCTATCAAAAAATAGATATATACACAAGTGTAAATGTTCTGGTAGATGTACATGTCGCTGATGGATAATATAGTACTGTGCTCCTACGTAAAAGAAAAGTCAATACTGTGGATGGAAAGTGGTTACAGTCCTGTTCTGCTGATATTTATCTAGATAAGCTCAAGGAAAAGTTTTATTTGCATTAAATTGATGTGATTTATTTCAGTTTCCACATATATCTGCTGGAGCGTTTCTCTTCTGGAGAACAGAGTGGGACTAACTGGAGCATGATGTGAAATCAACAGGAAACCCTTGAAGGAAAACAGTGGACACTGGCCTCTCTGATAACCATTTACAAAAACAGAAGACACGGTGTATCTGAAGTGATTTGGGCTTCGGGGAGTCATTTTTCAACGGGACATCTGCTCAGGGGAGAGGATGTAATACTGTCCACTTTCGAGACCAGTGTGGATATTTTAGGCTGCTGGCCATCAGGACAAACCACGCTGGAACTCTTGTTGAGGTTGGCTTGATGTCCCCGGAGAATGTTGCTAACAATATAATGATTCAAGGTGAAGGAAAGTGGCAAAAATGAGATGCACTTCATTTTTCACTGGAGCCTCGGCGCACAGTGAATCAGGAGGCCGCTACACCCATGCAAGGTGAGGTCACCTTGTTTTTCATCTCAGGGGGTTGATAATTATAAAGACATTCAGGCTGCTGGATAGATGAAGTTCACCTCATTTATCATCCGAGCCTGTTCTTAACAAGATAAGACGTTTAGTAGATCCAGATACGATTCGTGTGTGTGTGTGTGTGTGTGTGTGTGTGTGGGTGTGTGGGGCAGCCTGGGCTCTTTGGGGATGGGGGATTAAAGAGACAGGCTTTAAAGCGGAGGGTGAATACAGGCATATTCAGACCGATGGTATGAGTAAATGTGATTTTAAACATTAAAGCATGTAAATATGTTCTCGTAGAAAAATCTTAATACAAGTATCAACCTAAAAATGTTACTTAAAAGCCAAATGTGCAGGCTTGCTCGCTCTTTTTCTCTGTTCTGAGCACTTGAGATTGCAAAACACAGTGGGTAGCCCAGCTTGTTAAACTTTGATGCTCCACTACAGTCGCAGTAAACTCGTGATTAACGTTGTGAATTCAAACAAACACACTTGCAACAAATAAATACACAAGTACGGAAAACGCGTCAAAATAAGCTATGAACACCTTGGGACACACAAACTAGTCTCCTGTTTGAAACTGAACATACAGTATATTTCATTTTTAAAATGACACTGACCACAATGCTCATTGTCTCCAGGTGGCTGTAAACATCACAGCTTTTACTTTGAAATTAGACGAAAGAGTTTAACTGAATGAACCTTAAGACCAAATCAAGCTCAAATCAACGATTGGCCTGAAATGTATAAAAGCATACCTCCCAAAGTGTAGTATTGTGTTTGTTCATACATGGTGTTGATTGATGATTGTGTGCGTATTGTTACCTGCACAGACACAGAGTCTGTCAGTCTCCTGATGGTGACGATGTGTAGTTGACCGTCGGCCAGGCTCTTCACTCTGCTCCTCAACACTTCAGTGTCTCTGCCGCTGTCCAGCTTGTATCTCACCTCCAGCTTATCTTCACCCACAAACAAACAAAGTTTTTCCATTTTAAACTTTTTCTCTTGGTGAAAACATCCAGGTTTGCTTCTATCATTTTTACGAATCTCATTTTAAGGATGTTTTTTTTTAACTTCTGCTGATGAATCTGAATGATGAGTATCTGAGTCAATAAAGCTTTCGATATTAAGAGGATTAGAAGTTAATTCCCTATCAATAATACAACTCCAAATCTAATTAATTTTCATAATATTCTGAGGATTAAATGCAGATTTAATGAAAGCCGTGTGATGTCTTTGTGCTTTAAAGATTAATAAGAATGATAAGAAATAACACGTTGTCCTTCATAATTACACTTTTTAATACTTTTTCAAGTATAGTACTTAATCCCATAAAGACTCACTGTTCTTTTAAATAAAAGTGTATTTACCAAGAAGGAATACTGGTTTGGAGTATACACTCATCCATTTAGCAGTTTCTGATAATAAATTATGTATTTTTGAAAACGGGCCTTAAGGGATTGACGAGGGTTTGTGCTGGAGGTTTAAATGCAGCAGAGGAGGAAAATATATAAGAAATGAGCTGAACAAAAAGCTCTCGGGGATTTAATTGGACACTTCAGTTTAAGTGCATTTACCTGACGTCTCCACGGTCAGCATGAAACCTTAATGCCCTACTGTCCATCAGCTTTCTCTGAGTCATTAACACCAGGAAAAAACCCATTTGCAGCTAATCTGCCAGCAAAGTGCCAATTTTATTGGACTACTGGATGCTGAAAATGTAATTTTTAATTTCAAAGTGCCTCCTACTTCTCTTAAAAGCTACAAGATTATTATGTCGCACCAAAGTTTATAAAACACATCAGCAAGTTCTCTGCCTTTTTATTCAGCAGCACACTGACCTGCCACCCATTACCAGCCCACCAAACTATTGTTCTCTCAGCTTCACTCATCGGGTCTCAGTGATACGACCAGTCAACACTTTTTCTTCAGCCTGAGACAAAATATAATAGCCGGCCAGGCGGGCCAGATTAAAAGGCCATAGATGCTGACTGGTGAATCCAGGGAGAAGAAAGGTCTGACGGATTCTGATCTAGTAAAGCTGCAGAGGATGAGGAGGGAGAAGAAGGATTAGAGGAAGGTCTATCGGGAGAGGATGACATGAGGGGGAGGAAAGGTAAGATGAGAGGGAACATAGGAAAGTAATTGAAAAAGGTTGAGGGAGGAAGATGACGATGGGCGTAAAGTCTCGACAAGAATAATATAAAAGAAGTAAGAGCAACCCAGTAGGAAAAGAAAAGATGTAAACTAGAGATGATTTGAAAAAGGTGTAAAGAGGGGGAAAGAAGACTGTGAGAGAAGGAGGCAAACAGGGAAACAAGCTTCTGAGAAGATTTTCATAAATAATAGAGGACGCTCAACATCAAGTCTGAATGATATGGAGGGAGAGGAGACTAAAAACGGATGTGAAAAAGGCCTGAGAGCGACGCGTAGAGGAGAGGTGTTTAAGAGGCTTGTTAAAAGTGAAACACTGACTATTGTGTGCAATCTTGTTTTAAAAAAAAAGAATCTAAATAAATGAAAGCTGCAGGAAAGAGAAGTCGAGGTAGATAAGACGATCTAAAAAGAAAATGAGATGCTCTACTTGAATCTTGTGCATCAGCCAAACTCCTTCAAAATAAAAGCCTCCTCACCGTGCTTGTTGATGAGCAGGGCCAGGGACTCTCTGTAGTAGGAGCTGACGTAGAGCAGCAGAGCCGGACTCTGGTTGGTCCTGAAGCTCAGGGAGACGTTCTCTCCTCTCAGCGTCATGTCGGAGTAGATAGAGGACGGCAGGGCGCTGCTGTTCCGGCTCAACTCGTACGGCTCCTTGAAGGTGTAGCTGACGGTCGTCCCTGATTTGAAGCTGGCCGACACCTCTAAAGGAACAGACACAGGTTACAGCGGCAAGCTCTTATTTGGCAAATATCCGAAATGTAAAGGAACGATGAAAGCTGATTTAGCGAGTTCCTTTGAAAACAGTGTTGCCACACTGGCAAAACTAATAGCAGAGATCTCTTTGTGACCAAAACTATAAAGCTTTTTATTTTTGGCCACTGTCTCATACAACAGACATATTTAAACCTCTTAAATCTAAATGGAGGCTTTTTGATATTTTCAGATCAAGAGTTCTCCCATTGATTGGCGGTAGTCTTGAGTGCTTTTCTTGTTTCTACAATACCTTTTTTATATTCACTCCCTTTTGTTCTCAATGATGTTCATACCGCAAATAGCCGATTGTTGCTAAGTGGATAGCAGGGCCGTCTTTCAATCAGAGAGTCGGCGGGTCAAACCTCGGCTCCGCTAGTCGCATGTCGATGTGTCCTTGAGCAAGACACTTAACCCCAAAATTGCTCCCGTAGCTGTGCCTACGGTGTAGAAATGTGATAGACTCTGAATTGTAAGTCGCTTTGGATAAAAGCGTCTGCTAAATGACTGTAATGTAAATACACCCCCAGAGTCCAGCTGGACTGTTAGATTTCATTTGACCCATGTCTAAAAGGTCAGGTACAGACCCTTTGGGAATACTGAGATAAGCAAGACGCTTAGCAGTTGATAAAAGGGTGACTATTACATATAAAGTTCACATACTTCACATGTTGTATACGTGTTGATATTGTGTGCAACTGTTGTAACTCTAGATTTCAGGAATAGTTTCAAAACAAGATCTGAAATAAGATTGAAGTGCTGCCAGGATTCAGAGCCCTGATGGTACCAAAGTATTTTACTGTAGTTTATTACTTTAGTTTTATTGATTTCCTGGAAGTGGAATCCATTGACTTTTCTTCCTGCATGAACACCATTTATTTCACTTTGCAACATCTCTTTTGTTTATCCTCCAGTACAGTAGTTGACCAATATTACCTGGAAAATAATTATTGTTCACTAACGAGGACCACACTAATAACGATATGGGTTTCAAAAGGTTTATTGCATGATGGAATGAGAGGGTTAGATTTAGGAAGCGGAAAGGGGTTGAGGGAGGGAGGAAGGGATGGGGGTCGTGAGATGAAGGTATGTAGGGATGGGGGTGTACTGCATGGAGTAGTCCGGGCTGGGGATTAGGTTGATTCTTGGGACGGCAGAGCCGTGGGGGGATGAGAGGTCTATGATTTTATTTTTTCCTGAATATTTCCTAGTAGCAATACCAATAGGACTGTTCTGAATCTGTTGTCTGAGTGCGAGCGGCACGGGAGATGGTCGGGCGGAGTCGGGATCTCCCCCTGGGGCTGTTGGAAGGAGAGGGTCCGACGACTTCGGAATTGTCCAAGGATAGTTGTCGGGAGCGTGAATGGTGATTGCGGCCGAGGTTGCTGGCGGCGAAATATAATGGAAGAAGGTGGGATCTCCTGGACTTCTGGAGTTAGCTGATATTCTTCCAACAGGTCGTTGTCGGAAGGAGTGAGGGTGAGCTCCAGGTCCATGTTGCAAGGTAAGTGGTTGAGATTTCAATTTTTGCTCGGGAATTTCACGTCCTGTGGAAACTGAGTCAAAGAGGAAGTGAACGGGTTTGTCGTGCCTAAATACTTTGTGCCGAGGAAATGAGCTGTGTTCGGGGCGTGGTCCTTGTTCCTGAACTAAGTTTATAAACTAAATGTTCCCTTCCTGAGCACAATTCATATATTTGCAGTCATTTTCCATATTGTTTCAATATTATAATCTATTGCTCAGGGTAAATTTAGCACGACATGCACTGCTTTTAAACAACTGACATTGCCACACAAAAAAACCCTTCATACACATGTCTAGACAGAAAATGGCTCTATCGAAGTAGATGCAGAAAGGTAAAGTATGTTCCTGTGGTTGTTGGGAAGAAGGGAAAGTGAGTGACTGAACTCAGACATGAAGTTTAATGTGATGACGCAATATCGGTGCAATTCACGTCACACAAACTACTTTAATAGGCTCCAACACGTCAAACCTTTGATGCCACATGTACTTCTTAAGTGTTGAGTGCATTAAAAGGTACAATGGAATGATAAGAACAGATGTGTTGGTGTTTTTCAGCTGCTGCATCTTTATCTTGTTTATCTTTAATTGCATTTTTTCACTCTGAATATGAGAATATACCATATATGCACGGCGACACAGACGTTCAGGGCTGATCTGCAGAGTGAAGGAGTCCACTCAGACAATGTCCTGCTTTAACCCTTTAATTCTCCTCCGAAAGGAACTTCAGGCTGACACAACACAATACATCAAAACGCGACCTTGGATGTGGAGATATGAGTCAACTGCAGTGAATGTAAAGCAAGGACGAGGGGGCGGAGGCGAGATGTGACACTGTGCAGAAAATGCTTGAACAGGTCTGACACAGAGCTAAAGAGAAATACATTATATAATGAACCCTTTTAATGGCTTTATCAAACTGACAAATTTGTCAGCACAGAACAAAGAAGAGAAGAAAAGTAGCAAGAAAGGACTAACACACAGCTTTACAAATGTTTTATGAGGAAACATTTGTTAGACCTCAATGCAGTGCTGTGGTCAACACCACCTAAACTGTGACCAGTTCATGACGAAGACCAGAGTGAATCAAGACTTTGAGAGGGTTGAAACCAAGTAAAGACCAGAAACCATACCAGTGACAGTCCCACACTGCGGAACATGCAAACCATTGGCACGCCCTCTCCATTCACTTCTTTTATTGCATACTGTATAAGTGTACCTTGAAATGTCCTGATGAAGTAATCAAAAGGCATTGCAGAGGGGAATTTTTACGTGTGGGGAATTTTCCTTTGTTTTCTATGAGCCATCACAGCTATGATGTTGGCAAACAAATGAGACCATACACAGGCAATTTAGTGATGTATACGCAGTGGTGGTCTTGACCGGTCTTGGAATAAAATCCTGATTCCTCTCTGGCTGAGAACGAGATCAAGACCTTCAAAAAAGTGGGTGAGACAAAAGCCCAACAATGTAATAATACTAATATTGTTTTTAATGGTATGACTTGCCTAAACACCTACAGTGTCTGTGCATGTACCTGTATGGCAGAAGACTCCAGTGTATGCTGACAGGCTGCAGTCACAGTGGAAGCCGTTGGCTCCCTCCACACAGCGGCCCTGGTTCTGGCAGAGCGAGCCGTAGCTGCTGCAGTGACCCGGGCAGCCGGCTCGAACCCCCGGGGTGATCTTCGCTCTCTCCTCCAGGTCCAGGGTGACGCCGTTCAGCTGCAGGGAGCGAATACAACCCCGAAAGCCCTTCTGCCTGGACGCTGTGCCTCCTGAAAACATGCAATTGCATGACATTTTCTTTTTAACTGCTTCATTTTAAACTTCATTTTAAATGGCTATGTTGCTAACATCACAAGCATCAGCATCAAAGCATAAAGGAATCAAAGAGTCTAGTGTCTGTCCTCTTTGTCCCTGCCTTTCTTTTATGTCCTTGTGTTGACAAGTGTATACATTTTCTCTCGTTTTTTTTTTTTTCCAACTCTCCCCCTCCTATCATCTACAGCGGATCCACATGTCGCCGCTGCTCCCCCAGAAGCTCTAAACTGTCGTGAGTCTTCTCATAAAATGACACAATGGTGAAAAGCAACGAGGCAACAAGCTCTCGGTGGAAAAACTGAATCAGGGACATAAGTTTCAACTGCTGTCTTTTTGTCCGTCTGTGTGGAGAAGAATGGCCAATTTCCTTCCCTTTCAATCACCTGTCCTTGCCCCCTTTCACCATCTCCAGCACCTAACTTGCAATCTGTCAGATTCTTTTCATAATAGCTGCAAACCTGAGCACACGAAAATATATCAAAAATACATGTCCAACTTTGCGCGCGTGAGCGCGCACACACACACACACACACACACACACACACAGTCCTCGTATGTGAAGGCAGCAATCAGAGTTCAAACCTGACAGCCTGTCATTTCTGCAAAGATCACGGATTGAAATTGTTATTTTTCTCAGAATTCAGACATGCCACCACTTTGCTCTGTGTTCAAAGCGGACAACTTTGAAAACTGAAAGCAGCAGCTTTTTTACACCAACAAATCATTGAGCTCCGGTCGGCTCTTCTTTCTGCTCTGACACAAGTCGGTAAACGGTAAGTCATTGAAGCAGGTAGAGGCTTCACACAAAGACACAAATGTGGGATCAAAAGTTGCCATTTCAGAAGTTGTGTGTTGATACACAACATCAATCTATGGCAGTAAAACAAAGTTTTTTTTATAGGTTTTTACTTACACCTATTTGTAGAGAATTAAAAAGTATAATTGATGGGGTTTTGATATAAATAGAATAATATGAAATGTGGATAATATTTGGACAGGTATCATCAAATATGAGTATATTGTGAAATTAAAGGGGAGGAACAAGGAGAAGTGTGTGTGTGTGTGTGTGTGTGTGTGTGTGTGTGTGTGTGTGTGTGAGAGACACACAGGTTCATTTAATCTGTTGAAAAGTCTCCCACGTTGGCTGGAAGTCAAAACAACCAACGACACGGTGCTTTGGCATAAAGACGTGTGGTGTTGAAATGTCTCCACTTGTAAAAAAGACCTACGTATATGAAACTTAAATATGTTGTAAACATTTGTTTGGTGGATGGGTGGACACATTGGGATACAGTATGTTCACACAGGTTTGGTTGATTCCAAATGAAATGGTTGTTTTGAGGAACGAGAGGACAGATATATCGCTGAGATATCGTGTTCATGAGAATGGGACGGACGGACAGACACGGCTGTCGCTGGCTTAGAGGCCTAACAAAGCAAAACACTACGTTGATGACAAAGTGTGGCTGGTTTTGTCGTTAGATGTTGGGTTCTGGGTTGACTCTTCAGGAGTGCATCGACACACTGCATCTGTGAACAACCATGGAGAGCATGGAAACATTCAGGATCTGGAAACTTTGAAAAGCGTTATAAACTTTACAAACTGTACAGCTAAGCCTGCCTAGAGAAGGTTTCAACCACAAATCCAGTAGTAAAACATTGATCATGAAGCATCAGGTGAAGACGGTGATTAGAGGAATAACTTCTGGGAAGGTAAGATCATTTCTAGAAAAGGAGGGATTTGTGGGGTAAACATTAAAGCAAAGATCAAAACGTCCAAATGCAGATAATGAGACCTTCAACGTCAGTGAGAATTTCAACCTCGCGTAGAACCTCAGCTCTAACAAGACGACTGCAGCCTCTCTACACGAGACCATGCTGTGAGAGCCCACTCTGTGCATTAAGTATGAGACCACATGAGAGTGAATGCAAAAACAACTAGTGGAATGCAGATCAAAGCAAGCATGGAAGGTAAAGTGCGTGCAGCTCACAATACAAAGAATTTCGAAGCAAAGCGTGAAAAGAGAGAATTAACTCAAAACTGGAGAGTTTTTAAGAAGAGAGCTCTGGAGCAGAGGGATGTTTTGATCACATATCCAACAGTGCAGCCTCTGAAAGCAGGATATCGTAATTAATGGAGGGGACTCTGATTATTTCGGAGTATTTAGTTTGCTCTTGTTGATAAAATCGCCAGACTGGCAGCTGAGTGACGGAACAGAAACGGACGTGGTGCAGGAGATTCATGAAGTTGAAATGAACAAATACCTCTAATTACTGCAGGTCCTCTTTTTAAACAAAATGTAAAAACTGTCCCTTATGCACCACTCTCAGCATGCAGAGAAGAAATATACCAGCGCGCCAGCCACCATGGATGCAAACGCAGCACCACTAAACTACTGGTTATCCATCCAAACCAGGTAATACAAGTAATGTGAAATGCTGCTTGCAAAGAACGCAGAAATATTTCACTTGAAACTGCTGTTTCAAGTGAAATATTTACACCTACAAATAGCAGGCAATAAAGAAAGCGTAAAACCAATCCCATGGCGTATAAACCCATGCAAGGCAATAACACGGGTTATTAATCGAAACAATGTCATCCACTGCCTTATAAATCTGCACAAAGGATAATTAATGCTCATAAATACACTGTTTAATGAGTTCATGGAAGACAACACTAAGTAGGCTGAATTATAAATCTGTGGCGCTCTCATGTGATATCATAGTTTATCTAAAATGCACAAAAGGATTAGATATACATTTTTCCTCATGAATATTTTGAAGGCGGGATTACAGCTCATGAATAAAATGGGCATAATCTCTACAGCAATGTTATGGTTTATGATTGCGTGCAGCTGAGCAGATATGAATACTCATATATTTATATACATATATTATGTACTTTCTCAAGGACACTTTAACAGTAACTTACATAACGTACATAATATTTGCAGAATGAAAAGACCTGATAATAAATGTATTTTCATAGTTTCCCCCGCTGTAGCTCTGGTGAGAGGTCACATGCAGAATTCATAACCGATGGAGTTGAGATGAACCGGGCTGCAGTATTGATGGAGTTTGTGTTGGAGATTCTCAGCTCGCTGATTAATTACATGACAGAACAATCATTCACAGGTTCAGCTTCATTTACAGATTATTTAAAGACCCTCAATGTACACACAACTCTATATGTTACTGCTCCCTGATGCATGCTTTGTTTATCAAACATGATTAATATTCGTGGTCAGAAACCATCGACTCAGCACTTTCCTATCCGATAGTGCTGAGCAGCTGACAACATGTAGCCGATAGCAGTTTGGCACTTTGAAACAGAATATTTCTTTTCCTTTGAAAGAGTAAGTAGGACTCCATAGGAAGAGGTCAGACCTGCTGCTGTCTTGATTCTCAGTCTATCCAGAGTGCATACTGTAGGGCTGTGCATAAAGAAACCCTATAGAATAGACATGCAGACTCAGCACCTTCACATCCAATACTGCTGAGCAGACAAGAGTCAGCCAAGAGCAGATTAACATATGTGGAAAGAGAGAATGTTTTAGCTCTTTTCTGAAGATTTAATCCCAGTCTGACGTGGATACAAAGCACTCTGTATATATCACATCATGTATTACCTGCTACAGCACTGGATCCTCTGGATACAAGTTGTCATCCTCTTTATTTATCACAACTTGATGGAAATAAGCATGTGTCCTAATACTATACAGAAATATGACTAGAAACCAGTGCTACAGCTAAACCCAACTCATGTACTCTAACTTAAAAACACACATGATTTAGGTTTTCTATGGTTGTCTTTTTTATGTATGTTTGTTTGTTAAAGGAACCCAGTGAAGTTTTTGTCCACTAGTAGAACAATCGAGCAATGTTTTTAAGAGTCCCCATAAAGTGCCTCAGAAATGTTGTAGGAAGAAGGAAATGAACAACCACATGTGGCCTTAGGGTTTGTTAGAATCAACACTGTTTTTTTATATACCATTTAATTGTTGTATGTCTTTTTAATGTCTTTTCACTCACTGTGCTATAAATAATCTTGACTGGGAACATACTCCCTGGTAAAGATGACTGAATGCAATGGCCTCCTATGTAAATGACTTGTTCTCTACGAAAGCCCCGAGTAACGAGACAAAGCACTATTCTTGTCTATGTTTCATGGAGTACTGCTGTGAACTTGGGAAAGAAACAGAGGTTTTTTTTCTGCCGGGAGAGTCTCAAAAGATGTTTGACTAAAAGTCCTGTGATCCAGCTGCTGAGACAGAAAGCGCCGAACTACCAGTTCTCTAGAGAGCGAGAAACTCCGAGAAACGGGATGAGAGAAACAAGGCAAGTATGTGTGGAAGTTAGTGCCTGAGAAATATGGAGACACAGTAAGAAACTGTCAATCCAGAAGACTTGAGAAAGGGCCTTGAACCCACCAGCACTGAGACTAATGAGGCCACAACTCACACAGAAACTCACACACACATTTGTACGATTATATAACTATTTTACATTCATAAATAGCCCGTTAAAGAAGCGTGAAGCAGCAAAATAATCAGACAACAGAGAATAATGGGGGAGTCACACTCCTCACCTATGAACAGCTGGCTGTTGAGCTGCAGGTGGAGGTGTCCGTCAGCAGGAGCCTCCTGTGTGGCGACAGGAAGTCCGTCCAAACGAAGCGACGCCTCCTTGACGTTCCGCTCGGCTCGGACTCGATGCCACCGGTTGTCGTTCAGGGGGACGCTCGACTCCACGCGAACCTCCAGCGGCCCGTTACCAACATCGAAGGAGAAAAGCACCTGAGTGGAAGCTGATGGAGGGGGGGGGGAAAGAAAGGAAGATAAGAAAGGAAGGTGATTGATGGAGATAATAGAGGGGATATGGGGAAGTATCAAAGCAGGAAAAACATAATCAATGCTATGTGTGAGTCAGAATTGGACGAGTATTCAACCAATTTCACAGCACATCTCACAACTTGTTTGACAAATGTTACTCGGTTGCTTGATGAAGCAGATGTGTCGAGATATTTTACAAATCAAGCTATAGATTCAGAAAATACAATGCTTTGATTAAACTGTCACAAAAAATACTTTTTTCCCTCACAGAACCAAATTGAATCAAGGAGATACATTCAGGTCTGTCAATCAACTAAATACGATTTCTATAAAAGGTTTTCATTCGCCGTTTTTCTTGGATTAAGTGATGCAAAATCTAAAAAAGTATCAGTTGTATCTTTGTGGAGATGTGATATTGTCCTACTTTAAATTCCAATTTAGCTTTCACCAGTCTCTTCCTCTGAACAAAGAAGACCACAGACCTCAAACCAGCCTTTAATTTGTGCAAACAGGAAGTGTCTGCAGCCTCTGAATTAATGAGAACGAGACTGATAAAACCTTACTTTGTGGTTAAGGCTAAAGCAGTACGGCTTTTTTTCTTACATAAAAAAGCCGACATGGATCTTCACTTTATAGTTGCATATTTTCACACAGCTCTTAAAGTCGGTCTAAAACCTGCCAATGCCACAATTGGGAATATAAGCAGGAGTTTTAACAAGCAGGTAGGTTGGACTCAAGTGAATGAAGACCAAACAAGCAGACGAGGGAAAGGTAGAGCTCCCAGGAATTAATTTTAATTACTCTTTCACAACAGAACAACAAACACAAAGGCCAACAGAGCTTCTACCTCCAGCTCTCACAGGATAACAACAAACAAAAGACTCAAGAGCCTGGTAAGAAGCTATGCACTGATTAGGTGCAAGAACCAGACTGTGCCGTGTTTATTTCCAGACCATTCTTTATTTCACACCGCAGTGTGAAAGGAACCTGGTAGAGGCAGGTGCAGACTCTCTTCTGGGCCTCTCGCCCTCAGCAAGTATAGCTTAAAATACTGCACTTGTACAGTTTTGTGGTAAAACGTGAGACAAGCGATACAGTATATAATGAATGTATTGGTTATGATATTATAATTATATTTAAGGAAGTGCTTGAAATTAGCTTCACTGCTACACCAGTAAATGCTGCAAACTGGTATTACATAATAATCATGATCATGATGGTAATAACACTGTGAAGGGGTAAATAATCTACCGTACATTTTGAAGATAATTTTTACTGGTAATACTGTAAAAAGTGGATGACGATTTGGACACAGCTTCTCAGTGACAATCATCCATGTTGATATATGTAATAAAGCCCTCTGATGTCCTGATGTACCAAAATAAAAGTCTCCATTGTGGGTTCATTATTTTTCATCAGACCACGTCTGTGTGTATTACTGCTCACGTTGTATTGATAAGGAACCCTGGAATCGAAACTGACACAGTGATTCGATTTGACCTTTACTCAAAAAACAATACATACCAAACATGTAATATGCTAATTTATTGTGACAAATTGCTGTCGGCTCCATGAAGAGGACCCACTCCGTATGTAGATAAACTTGGATCATTCTAAGGTTACGAAAACACAATAATTCTTTCACTAAAGAAAACCTACTGAATGATATCATATTGCATTTCTGCTAATAGATCCCCCTAAATGCAACAAACTGTTCTTTATGCTACATAATTGAAACAATACTCTAATTAACTTATACTCTGAAACCTTGAAACATTGTGCAAAATAAGGAATTAATTGATTTTAAAATACCTTATTTAGCTTTTATTGACTAGTTCAACCTTTCAGACGTTTAATTTTGGGAAACTGTCACTTATAATGGACTAATTTTTCTTTTATTTGTACTTTATTTTGTGGTATTGCTGCTAGTAAAAGGATCTGAATAATTCCTCACCACCGCCCATAGGCAAGTTTCCCTCTGAGCCACAGAATCATGAGTCAGGACCACGGCCAGCGCCTTGGCCCTGTTGGTGCAGCCCAGTTCCAGCACCACGGACAGCTCCTCAGTGCTGAACGTCTCGTCTTTCTTTCTGCTCAACTTTGTTCTCTCCACCAACCGCAAACGATTTAAGAGAGAGCAGGCAAAGCAAACCATCGTCTTTCATGTTGCGCTAGTGGAAGGTGAGGATGTATTGCTATGGGAGTACAGAGCAAGATGAAACACTATCCCAGCATCCTGCAGTAACTTCATATAGAAATAGTTTTCAGCCTCAGTGTTACAAAGAGATCTGAGGCAGCCGGCAACAGAGCAGCAGTATTCAGAGCTGGAACAACCACACTGACAATGATTTCCCCGAGGAGAGAGGCTGTTGGTGCAGCAGTGTCCCTGTATTATTAGATTCTGTGTGTGTGTCCCTTTAAGTCCCATTTCTAAAACAACTTCCTCCCAAATACAACACAAAAAGAACCACGAAACAGCAAACTGAACCAAACTAGGAGGGTAAAGTGAGGTGAAAGAGCTTTAAAAGGCAACGATGAGTCTAATAACTGATTCAAGGCATCTATACAAACTGTTATGAATGACACACACCACTGCTGCCCATAAATGTGTGCCTCATACCATCCGCAACACTGTCGTAACCGTATAAACACAAGGACACCTTGTTGGGTAATACAGCTATATTTTAAATGACACAATATATGGCAGGCTGTAAACATACAACTCACAGCGTGCCACATATCCGTGGCACCACACAAACTAAATAACACCCTGTTGGTTATTACTGTAATAATCTAAACAACACACTATGGACCCCATAAATGTGTGCATTACACAAGAATCAATCGACAGGAATTAATGTAGGGTCACGGCTGAAAAGCCCCAAAGAGTTCATAAAGCAACTGTCAAATTAAAAACGGGTGCTTAAAAAACCAGCCCTCCAACAGATCTGAGTTCCCTTTTTATGGGTTTCACCTTGGATACATTTCATTGGTTTTGTTGTGAATGCATTGTGGTCCCATCTGGGCCAGCACACGTTATCTATTGCTGCGTATGTGTTCTGTGCGGGAAGGGAATTGATCGGACATCAACAAAGAATTCAGCCAGAACAAACCATTGGAAGCACACAAGCGGCACCAGCAGAAAACACAAACTACATGCAAACCAGCACGTCAATGAAAAAACAGTTTCATCCAACATCAAAAGTAAAGGGATAAATTAGGGAAAATATTACCATCCTATGTTATAAAACACTTAAATCCCAGCACTAGGAAACGCATTGTAAGTATATATACACAAGCGTTTTTGTAAAGTGCAATCGTTCACTGTTCAGTTAAACAAAACATTATCTAAAAATCTGATTACGAGTGAAGAAAAACCCTAATGTTTCCTTCTACTGCATATTCTAACAGCATCACACTCATACATAGATATAAAAGAACAGTCTTTTTGTTTGGCTGCCATACTGTAAATGACACACAAACCATAAAGGCCTGAAAACAAACACACACACACACACACACACACACACACACACACACACGTATCAACTACAACATATGATTTGGATTATATCTTCACCCTCCAGCTCCTACTCACAGCGCAGTTCGATCCGGATGAAGTCTTTGATGCCCAGGTTTTCCAGGAAGACACCGGAGGAGGCCGTGGTTTTAAACAGGAAGGAGATGTCTGCGCTCAGCTCTCCGTGGAAGGTGGGGAAGTGGAGGTACGACGTCTCCTTGTCGAAAAACGCAGCGTTCCAGAAGTTCTCTGAGAAACACGATTAAAAAAAGTTATCTGAATTAAATCAAATCACAAACTCATTTGCCGAACTGTTATTCAGCTGAAGAAAAAGGTGCACAGTAACTCTGAGTATTTCAAGGAGTAATTAAAAACTGCAATCACAAAACATTTTAAAAGGAACGAGAGTTTTAATGTTGTCCAGTGACAGCTGTAATAAAATAAATAAAAACAACTTATCGGGTGTTATATTCTCTTCTCTTTCGATTTACAGGAATAGTTTACTTGTACCTTTGGATAGAGCCAAGCTACTCTGGCTGTTTACAGTCTTTATGTTATGCTAAGCTGTTGACTAGCTTCATATCAAAAAGACAATAAGAGTATTTCCCAAAATGTTAAACTGTTTTAAAAAGCATTTCTGGGTCTGAAATAACTGAATTAGAGGGTTACTATGTCACATTTTTTTAAACAGTTTGTACGTCAGTCATGCAGTTTGACAGAATAAACAGTTATTTTCACAATAGGACGGTTTCTGTTATCATGTTGTAACGTTAGGCAGCAGGAGAACTGAGCTGGACTTACTGTCTCCATAACATCGGAGCGGTCCCACCCTGTAGGCGGCCTCTGACTCCGCCCTCTGGATGTCACCCAGAACCAGAGACCTGACCGGGAGGCTCTTCGTGTGGGTGAGCAGGCCCGAGTCTTCAGCCCTGCAGGAAAAGAAAAGATGGAGCAAAACTTGTCGATTGTGCAGAAGAGGATGGAGAAGCTCAACGAAAAGAAGCCGGAGGAGAAGAGCGATGGGAAAAAAGGAGATGAAGAGGTGGAGAGCAGGATCGGGACAAAATTAATATGTGGAAGAAGAAAAAGACTGGATGTGGAGAATCAAAAAACTATAAACTATGCTAATTTAATTGGTGTTTGTTTTGAATGTCGCTCTTGGGACAATATTACATGTTGTAACTGATGTCAACATTGCAGTGAGTAGGTGCAATTTTTCAGGGACCTATTTATTCCTGAATCTTGGCCGTCAACATCCATCCCCGGCAGTTTCTGGAACAGCTGCTCCCAAAACAAGACACCTACTGTCCATTCACACCCACACGCAGCTTCACGCACTTAAGATAATCCTCCTCTTAGCTCCGTTGCAGAGGAAAGTTGTGTATAAAAATACATCCAGGACTGGAAGGACTGGAAGGACTGGAAGCGAGGAGTGTATATAGCACTTTGTGAGTGTGATGAAATATTGAAGAGCAGTAGCTCCGGTCTGTAAAAATAGAGTTGGTGTTGCACAAACAGCTTGTACTGGGAAATGAAATAAGGCAGGAAGTGAGGCAAAGGTGGGATTGCTTACAACATGAGGAAAGCTGAAAACTGTTTGCTTTTATCCCAGTTGATTTGTTGTTTACTTCGCTGCCGAAGTTAAAAGTCAGTTTGAAGACAAAAGCTTTTAGCACTCCTAATATTCTAGAAAAAGCAGTTAAGAGCATAAGTTAATTGAGTGAGATGATCTCTGATCATCAAATTCATCTGATTATTTTCTTATAATCAGTAAAAGAAAATATCTGTTTACCGAAAATGTTGCATTTCCAGGCAGTTGTCATCATATTGTACCAAGTATTTAAATAAATGACACCACCACAGATGAAATGGCAAATTTCTGCATTTTCTGTACACACAGATAACTGACTAAATTGTCTTCCATGTTTAAAATGAATATGCAACCACTGTACAATTTGCCTCTTGGTTGATTGCCTTTGGATGGTAGATGCTTCAACTGAAGTGTGTACATTTACACGAGCAAGATACCCCGAAAAAGGCCTATAAATAAACACAAATGTGTTCAGTACCACTCTATGCGGTCGGCGTCACAGTTGCAGTAGTGCTGTGGGTCCACACAGTCGCCCTGCAGGCCGCAGACACACTGCTGGCTGCCCGGCTGAGCTCCGCCCCAATAAGTCTGGACATGACCGGGACCGGGACCACCGAGCCACCAGCTGAACGGAGAGCCCTCTGAAACACACACACACACACACACACACACACACACACACACACACACACAGCCATCAGCTGATACACGTCATAAATTAGAAAACTTTTGGTTCAATCATAGTCTTATTATTCTTTTTACACTCACAAATGCACCTTTATTTTGGAAACAAACAAAGAAATGTGTGCTGGGAGACAAGAGCTAAGTGCTGACTGTATAGAAACAAAAAGATATGAATATTTACTTCTTCCACTTTTCCTTCATTTAAACACCATATCGGCATCATATGATCCAACACTGAAACGGCATACAAGCTGTGGGCATTCAATGATGGTAAACAAAAACACAAACATGAAACTTTTTGTTGTTGTGTTGCTTTCTCCTCACTTTCCCTGAGTATATCTGGGCTCTTACAATAAAACTGAAAACTTTTTGTCCATGAAATAAAAATGTCTCCTGTTGTCTGTTGTGAGCATCATTAATATGAGAACAGGGTCAGGGAAGGTCCATACATTTCCTCATTCCAAAAAAATCTATAAAATCCCTTGATATTGCTTTATTTTCATGTATTTTACTGGAAATTCTCTCCTGCACAACAGTTTGTCTGGTAGAGCGAGAAAGATGCGAGTAGCCGAAGGGACTTTGCTCTAGGGGTTTAGTTCTTGTACAAAATGCTTCATAACTCATACAACTTGATTCAAAGACCTCAAAAAAAATGCACAACTCTCAGTGCGGTTTGCTGGGTGCAGGTCGAGTAAATCAAGTCCTTGATAGAAAAGAAAAACAGCTTCAGGTTAGAAAAGACGCAGCTTACTTTTGCTGGTTTCAATCCCTATGAGGTAAATCTGAGCAGAGCCAACTGAAAGAAATAAAAATAAAAACAGGCACTTACCTGGAGTGTTGAGGAGGCGGGACTTCCTGCAGTGGTAGGACAGCTCCTGTTCGCAGTGTTCCGATTGGCCGATAGCGGCCAATAGCTGCTCCTCTTCAGTTGAGTAGTCAAAGTGAGGTGAGTGCTGGTCTACACCTGGAGACGGTCGGACTCTGGTCAGCTCTGTGTTGTTGTGCTGGATCACCATCCACATGTTCTCCTCTTTAGACAGACAGACAGAATCACAAGCATTACTATGATGCAAATTACACTTTATGGTCAAAGGTATTCTGCTCATTCTTGCAACTTAGACGGCTGAAGATCAGGAGGGGAAGGTATTCTTCACAACTCTGTTTTTACCTTCGACAAATAACTTCTCTGTTCTCTTTCTGTGTCACTTTCGTTGTCTTAAAAGGTCCAGTTTGTACCATTAAGGGGGACAATATTTTCATTGGTGTATAATCACCTCACTAAGAATTAGCGTTTCATTAGCTCAGAATGAGACCTTCATACGGAGCCAGCTATGTTGCACTGTGATGTTTCTACAGAAGCCCAGAATGGACAAACCAAACACTAGCTCTATAAATAGCCTTTCTACGTTACCTGAAGGCCACCGTAGTTCTCCAGTTCTCCACTAAAATGTGGATTGCCTCCACACAGCTCTCAGAGTGGCAGTGACTGATCTGGTGGTTAGCAGCTAACAGTGCTAACAGCTAATGGCAACACAGCTGACAGTGTCAACTGAATTTTTTTAACTCGGCACCTTTTAAAAAATTATGTAATTTATGTAGAGCACATATTCAGACAAGAAACATGTTTACAAAGGAAGGAGATGAAATCAACAATGTTCTCTTTCTTTATGATAAAAACTATGTAAAGCCCCAAGACATACAGAGAGAGAGAGAGAGAGAGAGAGAGAGAGAGAGAGAGAGAGAGAGAGCCTTGTTAAAAAGGGGTCTGATGAAAGGAGCAACATCATTTACAATTATGTAAATTTTAATCATAAAAAACGTTGAGTGATGATACGAGGATGAGGGGCAGTGAAAGTGAGTGTGTGTGTGTGTGTGTGTGTGTGTGTGTGTGTCACCTGTCATGTTGCAGTAGACCAGCTGCGGTCTGATTGGTCCGCTGCCGTCCACGTCGATATAAAAATGTCCCGACGTGTTGCCGCTGTGTTTGTACGCCTCGCAGGACTGTTCATACACAGCTGGGAGGAAGATAATGAGATCAGCTCAACATGAATCACATCAACACGTCGGCTGGCAGACGCACACAGGAGCTGTGAGGAGAGGAGGACTACACACTGTGGAGGATTGTGGGGACTGCCGCCATTGAATCACTGTCTCATAACCAGAGTGAAGACAATCATCTTCAGTTTTATTTCTGCAGCCGGCGTCCCGTAAAGTAAAGATTAATCCAACTGGAGAGGACATGACTGATGGGAGTACAGAGACTCGATAAATAAAGCTTTAGACCTTCAGCAGCCCTGCTCTTCCTCTCTGTGTCCATGAGTCTTCCTCTCTCCTCTCTCTGCCTCTCACTCTCACACACACACACACACACACACACACACACACACACACACACACAC